GAATATTGTAGGTTGTTTGCTCTAAAGAAGACCTACCAAGGGGGGGTCACGGGCACCCCAGGACCCTCCCCTGGCTACGCCCTTGGGTCTAGGGCTGAAAGACTTTGACCCAGATTCTACAATTGATCAGCAGGTCTTCTTATTGTTTGGCATGCAAAAACTGCATGCAAAACTAGAACCAATCATGACTTGGTATTTTCCCGCACTTTAGGCAGCTTGCTTTTTTCTCTTTGATTACTCATTGCCTCCTGGTGACATCCTCCTATTCTGATTGGCTATTGTAAAAACTTCGGTTTTGCTTTTGCGATTGACATCAATATTGACAACAGTCGTTCCCAGGACTACCCCTCACCCGGACGATCAAAGCACACTGAAAATTGAAATGCGCTAAAAACCAACCTGAATAAGCGGCTTTCTTGAGGTGCGCAGAAGATGCACGAGAGTAACAAGAGCTTCCGCGTTTGTAATTTCAAGCTGAGTGGATTTGTTGGATTGATGAGCCACGCCAACACACAGGATACCCAACACGCGGATCACCATCAACAGAACCTGAAACAGAAACACATCAGCCTTGAAGACTAAAACATTTCAGAACCATTTTTTTGTATATTAAGTTAACATTGCTTCCCTGTGTATCTTACTCTCGTTATTTACCAGCACTAAAAAAATGGATTCAGAAAAAATCGAAAAAGCTGGCCGAACGTTACCTATTCTATTAACACATTTCACGAGTAAAAATAAACTCTATTTTTCAACGAGTGGTATGTAGCCATAATCGCGATGAACAACTCTCCCAGAGCTGGCTATCATTCGAATCCAAAGAGCTACTCAGATTTTTCTCAGATTTTACTCAGATTTTTCTCTTTTCCCGTGACACTATTGACAAATTTTTAAGTTGTCTTTGACAACAAAGAAAAGAAGAAGTATATGTGCACGATCCTTCGCAGTAAAGCACTATTTGAGCAATAGTGAAAATCAGACCTGAAAAAAATTTCAGGCCTGTACGGGATTCGAACCACTGACCTCTGCGATACTAGTGCAGACCGCAGTTCAGACATATGTTTCATATGTTTGTTGTTGTTTGATTTATCTTCTACGGGTTTATGTCGAATTAATTTGATGGCCTGCTCCCAGTTGGCTTGTTAGCTCAATTGGTAGAGCGCTGCACTAGTATCGCAGAGGTCAGTGGTTCGAATCCCGTACAGGCCTGAAATTTTTTTCAGGTCTGATTTTCACTATTGCTCAAATAGTGCTTTACTGCGAAGGATCGTGCACATATACGTTTCATAACCGCAGTTCATACATATGTTTCATATGTTTGTTGTTGTTTGATTTATCTTCTACGGGTTTATGTCGAATTAATTTGATGGCCTGCTCCCAGTTGGCTTGTTAGCTCAATTGGTAGAGCGCTGCACTAGTATCGCAGAGGTCAGTGGTTCGAATCCCGTACAGGCCTGAAATTTTTTTCAGGTCTGATTTTCACTATTGCTCAAATAGTGCTTTACTGCGAAGGATCGTGCACATATACGTTTCATAACCGCAGTTCATACATATGTTTCATATGTTTGTTGTTGTTTGATTTATCATCTACGGGTTTATGTCGAATTAATTTGATGGCCTGCTCCCAGTTGGCTTGTTAGCTCAATTGGTAGAGCGCTGCACTAGTATCGCAGAGGTCAGTGGTTCGAATCCCGTACAGGCCTGAAATTTTTTTCAGGTCTGATTTTCACTATTGCTCAAATAGTGCTTTACTGCGAAGGATCGTGCACATATACGTTTCATAACCGCAGTTCATACATATGTTTCATATGTTTGTTGTTGTTTGATTTATCTTCTACGGGTTTATGTCGAATTAATTTGATGGCCTGCTCCCAGTTGGCTTGTTAGCTCAATTGGTAGAGCGCTGCACTAGTATCGCAGAGGTCAGTGGTTCGAATCCCGTACAGGCCTGAAATTTTTTTCAGGTCTGATTTTCACTATTGCTCAAATAGTGCTTTACTGCGAAGGATCGTGCACATATACGTTTCATAACCGCAGTTCATACATATGTTTCATATGTTTGTTGTTGTTTGATTTATCATCTACGGGTTTATGTCGAATTAATTTGATGGCCTGCTCCCAGTTGGCTTGTTAGCTCAATTGGTAGAGCGCTGCACTAGTATCGCAGAGGTCAGTGGTTCGAATCCCGTACAGGCCTGAAATTTTTTTCAGGTCTGATTTTCACTATTGCTCAAATAGTGCTTTACTGCGAAGGATCGTGCACATATACGTTTCATAACCGCAGTTCATACATATGTTTCATATGTTTGTTGTTGTTTGATTTATC